ATATATGGTGCTGCAGAGATGGAGGGAAAAATCTGTTCTTCTACATGGGAGGCAGAAACCACATAACTAGAACATGACTCCAGAGCAGTGGGAGATTCAACTTTGATCCCAATCTTGAAGGATATGTAGGACTAAGTCATGATGTGATGAAAGTAGAAAGCAAAAGGGAATTTCATACACGGGAAACAGTGTCTTCATGGAGAGGCGTTTGGAGAGCTCAGAGCAAATGTAGGGAGTAAAGAGTATTTTAGTCTGGTTAGAAAGTAGAATCTATGAAGAGGAATTTGGAGAGCTAAATTGACAAAGAGGCTGAGGTCAGGTAGTGGAGGGCTTTTGAGTACCAGGGAAAGAGGTGTGGGGTTTGGAAGAGTAGAGTCTGGGGTAGAGACATGGGAGGAAACTCTAGTGGAAGAGGAATAAGATTTTCATAGGCAACCAACTCCCCACAATGCTCTTCACTGGAGGAATAAAGGAGGGGGCAGATAAAATTGGAAGGGGGTTTGGGAGGAGAGCAGGAGGGAAAGGAAGGGAGGAAAAAGTGGAGAGAGAGCACAAAACTTTAGAGAAAGAAGGAGTCAGTCCCAGGGATATTGTTGTTGATTGCCTGTGAGTTGAGCACAACTCATAGCGACCCTATGAACAAAAGGCCTGAAGCCCCTCTACAACTATAGACATTTATCGAAGTTCATAGAGTTTCCAGAGCCATGTTGTTTAAGAACATTCCTGCTTCCAACCCAGGGATGAGGCACCCAGTATAACTTACCCACAGCCATGTAGTGGGCATCAAAGCCTGTGAATCGTTCCTCGTTGGAGAAGTCTGACCGGAAAGTGATGGACATGAAAGGACCAGGGGAGAGGACTGCTTCCTGGCCGGGGGTCTGCTCTGTGTCTGTGGTCTCCCTGCCACAGAACGTCGCCAATACCTGGTCTTCAGTTTCCACCTTTGGAATCAAAGGGAATGGAAACAAGGTCAGACACTTTCCAAAGGTGCTTCTCTACTGCTTTGCAGGAAGAAAGAGGATGGTAACTGCATGAATTTAACACATAACTTCAGAATCCAAGGAAAGGTGGTAGGAATTCTGGGATTTGAAAAGCATAATATAGGTTAAATCAATGTGATCCTCCATCATTGCTTCATTTCTTTTGTTTAGTTCCATGAGAAGTAGTTTGACATTTGTCATTCTTATTAACAACCAAATGGTCTACTTCTTGAAAACAATTCAACATTGAGGACAAGAAATTAGACAGTTTTTTATCTGGATTACATGTTCAATATAGTAACTTACACACTTCCAAAGGCAGTGAACTAACTATATTCACAGTATCAGCCCTTCACTGAGCATCCAATGTGGATCTGTGACTGAGCAAAGCAAAGGGGATTATTAGGGAGTGAGTTGGCTTTTTTGTTTGTTTGTTTGTTTTTTTCCCCATGGGGAGGCAGTATTCAGGTTGAGAAAAATAGTGTCATAGTGTAACAAATGTTTTATTTATGTCACCATGAAAGCACTCTAAAGAACCCTATTAGAATGTATGTTATAGGAGATTGGGACTTCGTTTTCTTTACAATATGCCTTTGGTGAATAGAATACCATAGAGTCTCATTACCCTCAAGTCAATTCCAGCTCATATTGACCCTCTAGGACAGGGTTAGGATTTCAAAGGCTGAAACATCACGATGCAGGCTGACTGCAATATCTTTCTCCCATGGATTAAAAATCATTGGCCTATCAGTTATCTGTTCAACACATTGTAGATATCAATAAGCAATCCTTATTAAAAACTGAAAGTGGAAGACATTTTGAGAAGAAGGAGAAGCTGAGAGTCTGTAGGGGGCATGGAAGGAGATATACTTGGAATTATGGTTGAAATTAGAAATGACATTGGATGCCATAAATGTCATGACAAATAGTGATTTTTATTTTTTTTTTTTCATTTTGAAGGTAAAAAGAAGACATTGAAAACTTTGGAACAGGGAAGTTGTGTAATCAGTACTGTATTTGTTAGGTATTTGGTTGTTGTTGAGGACTATTGAGTTGGAACTGACCCATGATGGACCCTCAAGTGGATTTCCAAAGGCAGTTTTAATTGCACGGGAGGTTGTTAATCCTTATCCCCAGGATTTTAATCTCTTGCCTTTGGGGTTGCAGTATAGCTTCTTCCAACCAGGCCAACAGACTTCCCTGATAGGTATCCTAAGTAACAAGTATTACTGAAAACATCCAGAAAGTAATGTATGTTAAGAGATTTTTTAGAAAGTCCATTTGCTAAAATAATTCCATGTTTTGGAAGAGCCAGAGGCCCTTTACAAATACAGAGACTCAAGCAAAGATTGTAAACTGGTTACCTAAAGTGGATTGTGTTTTCATTGCGTTTGGAAAGCCTAGTATGGTAGCTGGCTGGATTATTTATTTGCCTAGTTGGCCTATCATCTGCCCTATCCTCTCACACCTAGCTTGATTCTTTGAGGCTTATATTTGAGTTTGCACCCTGTGAATAACCACTTTCATCCAACTGCATGAGAAAATATCTTACTAAGAACAATTTCTGCTGCCTTTCAAAGTTATTAAAGCAGAATACTGCCTATCTCTAGCAGTTTCTAAAGGAGTCATTATTCTTTCATTAGCTTACTATGTCAAAAATATCTTGACATTTGACACTTCTTTTCTAAAACTAATGGTTTATTTACTTAAAATAAGTGGAAGGTTTGTTGGGTTTCGTTTTTTGGTGTGTTTTCTTTTTTTTTTTTTTTTAACAATTTGCCCTGGCAACAAAGCACAAGGGCAATTAATCATGAACTTTGGGAATTAGAATGTAAACAGAAGATGAGATCATAGCTTTGCTATTTATTCTCCTTTGCCTTGGACACCAGCCAAGTGTACACTACTGTAGAAAGTGCCTTTCTGTATACAACTTTGAGCATCCCGAATGGTATGCTATTTTGGTTAACAGAATTTTCCAGATAGCTGAGGGTTACTGACCCACTGCTATTGAGCTGATTCTGCCTCATGGTGACCCTCCTTTGGTATGCTGAGGCTGTAAATCTTAAAAAAGCATACTGCCTCAGCCTTCTCCTGTGGAACAGCTGGTAAATTCAAACTGCAGCCCAACATTTAATCTATTATGCGACCTGGTCTCCTCAGCTGAAAGTTTTCACACTAACAATAATATTAGGAAAATGTTTTAGATGTAATGTTTCAGAAAGCACTTTATAAAAATCCCTATTTTCTTAAGTGAGGCAAACGATCCTTTCTTGGTGATCCAACGACGTCACCATGAATGTCATCCACCATGAAGCTCTCTAGTAAAGGGGAAAATCTCAGGATACTGAGCTGTGTTATGACTTGCTTTGAATGTCCTCAGATGGAAATGCATTTAAAATTCTCAAGTCTTTGTCATGGATTGTTTTATTTCCTGTCTATGTAGTAACTCCATTAATTTCTCTCTTGTTTGCTTACTTTTAATATGTTGTAGAAAAGAAACCAATTAAATTGCTTTTGTTAAAGTGTAACAAAAAGAGGACTAGATTTATAATGAGGAGTTGAGGGAGACATTCTTTGAGTAATTACTTGAAATGCAGTGCACCATCTTTGTGACCTCCACTTTGTAGTAACATAGTGTACGGGCCTGTCAGTTGGAGGATCTGAACTCTACTCCTGGCTCTACCATAAATTATGTTGCACTGTTAATCCAAAGATTCATGGTTTGAAACCACCAGCTTCTCCAGGGGGAAAATGTAGGCAATCAACTCCCATGCAATTTATTACCTCGGAAAACCCACTGAAGGGTCAGCTATGAGTTACTTCTGACTCAATAGTACGTAACAACAATGTCCATCTCTCAGTCATCCACCTGAAAAACAGATTTGAACTACTGAGGTCTAGTTTCCTTTTAAATTCTGATATACTAGTATACCAGATATGCCCTTGGAAAAAGTATAGCCAGAACCCTCTTGGAGGGAAAGATGGGAAAGCTTCATCTCACATGCTTTGGGTATGTTGTTACAAGAGGCTGTTCCTTGGAAAGGGACATCATGCTTGGAAAACTAGAGGGTCTGTGAAGGAGAGGAAGATCCTCGGCAAGATGGATTGATACAGGGCTCCAGAATCTCAGAAATGATGAGGTTGCCACAGGATAGGATGGAGTTCAGATCTGTTGTTCATAGAATTGCTGTGAGTCATACTAGACTGGACCACACCTAACAACAACAGTGTACCAACAGCAAACAGGACATTAAAATCACATATTAAGTATACCAAATATGAGATGGTGAACAGGAGTTTCCATATACACAGATTCTTGGTTATGAACTTGTTTATGGTCTGTAGCAATGTAATATGAAACAATTACAAATGAATAGCCATGCTTTTTAGCATTAGAAGTTGCGGTCACAGCAAAGTCTTATAGGCCCTTGGGCTCTGCAGTGTCCATAGCATGGATACTTTCAAGTGAAATCAACCAGAGATCATTTGGATTAAAGGAGAGACCTCATGAGAGTTTGGTAAATAATCTTCCTTGCATTGTCTTGGTTGAAGGTTATTTTATGATAGTAATTAAAGTGTGATCACATAACCAATCAAGTCACACTATTCCAGAGACCAAATTAGCATATTCCAGGTGGGACCCTTGGGGGAAATCTGAGTCCTCTACACTTTTAGAAGCAGGAAAGAAAAGCCAGTAACCTGGAGCCCTGAGAATTTAGCCTGCAGCCCAGAATAGAATCCTGGATTATGAGCAAGACCTTTAAGAGTTATTTTAATCTCTTTCCTTCTAGAGAAAACTGAGGTCCAGAGAGGGGAAGTGACTTGTCCAAAGGCAGAAAGATAACCATGAACATTCTCTGTTATCAATTCTGCTTTTGGAACTATTTTGACCCCAAAGAAAGGAAGCTGCCAACGCAGAGAGAACATGACAAAAAACACAGACACTTGGACAAACACTTCCCCCCCACCCCCCAGCTCAAGGACCTCTTGAAATCTTATCTTGTGTGAATGGACTGAATCCCAGAGAGGATGTAGCTTAGTGACAGCTCCAACCATAACTTAAACAGAGGAGTCACTAGCCCTGGTTAATATTTACAGTCCCTGCTGTGGAGTGTCAAATTCAGCAAAGATTGTTTACTTCTGAATGCAGTAATTAAGCTCTGGCTTCTGTTGGCCTGCCTCATCTCTGGAGTCATCAGGACAGCATGATGGAGGAAAAAGCTTTATCAAATACACATGTGAAATTCATAACAATAGAAACCCATGTGTGGGTATCTCAAGCTCACTCACTGTTTTAAAAAAAATTCTTATTGTGGTCAACCACATTTTTTAAAATAGGGCACTGACATGTGGATTCATGTTCTCCTTTTTTCTCCAGTTTAAACTCAATTCAACAAGTGTTTATATACAAGAGTCTACCTGCACCACAATATGGAGGGATGCCATTGCATGCATTGCAAACAAGTCCCCATGACTCAGGGAAATTGACATATAGCAGGAAAATTAGGTAAGTACTTAAAAGTGTATGTATCACAAGGTTGTCAGGGTGTGTAATTGCAATGAAAGACAGGCAGCACCAGGGATTTAAAGAAGGGGACAATTAAACCCAGCTGAAGAGAATCAGAAGTCATGTGGTAGAAGAGAATTCTCTTTGAGATAGAAATTGAAAAATAAATAGAATTTAGGGAGGTGGAGATGATGAGTAGAGGGTTGGGGTATTGATTATAGGGAAATTAGCTACACAGACGGAACAGCTGAGACCTGTTATACTCATTCAACTGTCTCTGGGTAATGTAATTGGTTAATCATCTTGGCTGCAAATGAGGAAAAAGTTGAAGGTTCATTTCATGTCTACCTAGAAGCTCATTTGGAAAAAAGGCTGGTAGATGTACTTTTGAAGGATCAGTCATTGGAAATTCTACAGAGCAGTTCTTTTCTAACACATAAGGAGTTGCCACAAG